GTTGTGTTATATACATTTTAGGGACACATTGTACCGATATAAAAGAGGGGAGGAGGGACAAAGGAAGGGACAGAGACACACACAGACGGAGCACATTGATGTTTCCCCCAGTAAGTTTTCTGCTTGGGGAAATTTTCCACCCCTCATCTCTGGATACAAATAACCTGTTGTATGTTCTCACAGAAGGCTGAAAAACCTTCCTGCTTGTATCAGCACTGGTACAACAAGAAGACATTGTATATCCTTAGAAAAATCTCTGAGCTTCAGGAAGTTCCAGCATTCTTGACTTTATTTTCTTTTCAGACAGGAAAAAAACATTGCAAAAATGATCTGTGAGCAAAACTGCACTTCTGTAGCTCAGCCTTCCAGACATGGTACTAAGGTCTTCAATGAACTATTGTTCCCCTTTGCCAGCAATCTGGTCAGCTGTCATTTTCCCTTTCATTGAAAGCACAGTGTTGATTTATCGTAATCACTAGGACTGATGTAGCAATTACCCGCAAAAGTAAAATGGGTCATCAGTTCAATTTAGCATTTTCTACCAGCATATATAGCATATGAGGTGATGTGACATAAAAGGTTGTTTGAACAATCAGTATTTACCATGCTTTTTCATACCTGAGCTTGGAAAATGTTCCTTTTTTGGACTATAACTCTCAGAATCCCCAACCATCATGGCTAGGGCATTTTGAGATTTGTAACCTGGGTCTGGAGTTCTTTTGGAGCATTCCTTTGGCATAAAAACACTGTTGGATATTGTTACGGTAGTATTAGTAAGGTCTGTGAGCATTCAAAATATGAAAGAAGTAAGGCATTGGAGAAATGAGGTGCCTAGAATAAGCAAATTTGTGGTGACATATTGTTGTTGCACACTCTGAAAGTGCAAATTGTGTGCAGTTCAGTTATTAGGAATTGTGTATCAAAAGATGCAGCCTAAAGAAGGTGATACAGGTTTGAAGAACTCATTTGCTGGTGCTTCTTATTGTATAGTAAAACTTTCAGCAGTTGTTCCATATAATATACAGGTTAAAAAATAAGGGGGAGTATTTCATTTCAGCCCTCATACCGTATGAACCCTGATAGTTGGTTGGATTCCCAAAACAATTAAAGTAGACATACTCAACACGATAGAGTTTTGTCAAGCAGTGCTTGTTCTCTAAAAAAAGGACTCAGTCCAGGAGATGGTATTAAGATCATAGTGAATTCTTCTGACAGGCAGAAACTCAATTGACTAGTGTAGTTTATTATTATTCAACACAGTAGGTATGATGACAGTAGGTCTCACAAGATTACTTCTACTCATCATTTTCAGAGGGAATCTGAAAAAAGCCATACTTAGGTAAAAAATGAACCCCTCCTTGAATCATTTTGAGTCCATGCAAAACCTCTTTTAGCTCTATCACACATTCAAAATTATATGTAGTATGTTATTTCTGTTTTGAAGAGCTCCCAGTGGTGCAGTGAGTTAAACCCTTGTGTCTGGTTGAACTGCTGACCGAAAGGTTGGCGGTTTGAACCCAGGGAGTGGGGTGAGCTCCTGTCTGTCAGCTTCAGGTTCCCATGCGGGGATATGAGAGAAGCCCTCCACAGGATGGTAAAACATCTGGGCATCCCCTGGGCATTGTCTTTGCAGACTGCCAATTCTCTCACACCAGAAGCGACTTGCAGTTTATCCACACACACACACAAAAGTGGGCCAAATGCATTTGCAGGCAAAAAACCCCCCCAATGTTCTCCCCTTTAACTGATTCCACTTTCTGACAGCTATCCTGTCCGTAACTTGTCAGATAAGTGGGGGCTAGCAAGAGAAGCAATTGTTGGATCATAAAATTTTCTCTGGAATTAATTAAGCAGTATAGAAAAACAATACTGCATCGGGAATGCGGTGCAGCTCTGAGTGTCAGCTGCATTAAGATCACTTCTGACCACAAGGTCATGAGTTCGAAGCCAGCCCGGGTTGGAGTGAGCTTCTGACCAATTGTGTAGCTTGTTGTCGACCTTTGCAACCCGAAAGACAGTTGCATTTATCAAGTAGGAAAATTACGTATCACCCATGTTTGGGGAGGCTAATTTAACAAAATTTACAAGGCCATAAAAAAAGACTTCAGCAAAGCACTCCAGCAAAAGCATGTGGGGAATACGGAAGTACTTCATCAGCTTCGCAGATGGACGATGAAAGCAACAGCTCCCCTGGCGGTCAGAAAAAGTTAAATAGCCTCTGACTGTTTGTCTATATCTGTTGTGTGTCATTGGCATTAAATGTTTGCCATATATGTGTACATTGTAATCCACCCTGAGTCCCCTGCGGGGTGAGAAGTGCGGAATATAAATACTGTAAATAAATAAATAAATAAATAAATAAATAAAACTGGATTGTTTAAACCAATAGACTTGAATGAGTAGAGAAGTGAATCAAACGTGTATCATGCCTCAACTTAAGAGTGAATTTCACTAGTGGCATGATATCACTGTATAGTTTTAAAAGAGAAACTAAGGTAACATGGAGAGAAAGAGAAGTCTAGTGGGAAAGGTAAAGGATGTGGATGAAATGTTTAAGTAAGGTAAGACTTTAAACTTCCCATGGAGACATTTTAGGTTGCATGTAGTCTTTGGGTCTACAGGTGAGGAAGAGTAGTAATTTATGCGAAGAAAGACATGAAAATTTCACGCAGTTGTTTACGGATGCCTGTCTTCTAAACAGTTGTTCATAATGGAACTATGAAAATGAATTTACAACATGGAACAGAACACATTTATTCTAATGGATCTTAAAAGGCGGTGATTCATGGAATATCTTTTATTTGAAAAAGTCTTCTTTCACTTCTGACTGTAAACCCAGCTCAACCCGATCCTGGGCACATTATCCCTTCTTGAAAGTTAAAATAAGGTCAATCTAGCTGCATATGCATTCTTTGAATCAGTGGTTCTCTATTTAAAGACAGATATTTGTTTTGTCCCTCAGTATGTTTTCACTGTTTGTATGTTTTCTAGTGATAAGAATTGCATTTTAAAACATCCCTGGTAGGAACAAAGTCTACCCATTTTTCATCCTTGAGTGAAAACAAAAACAACATTTTCCCTTCCATTTTGCTTTTGTTGGGTTTTGTGCAGTCACCCAGCACTTTTGAAAAACAAAATTTTCTGCTTAAGAATGTATTGTACGCAAAATAGAATGTTTCCTATGCAAAATGTCTTTTGCACACAATTATTTCCTTGCATAAAAATGTCCTAGAATGTTCCAAATCATTAAAATGTGCACAAACTGTGATAATTGTACTAAGTAACGAGAAAAAAGTTTGTTATTCTTACAGGCAAGAATAAAATAAAAGAATATTTACATCCTTGGTGTTTTTATATGGGCCATTTTAGAAATAAAGTACTTGAAGAATGCTTCTTACCCTGAAAGATGCAGTTCCCTTTGAGCTTTGTGCAAATGATCTATAGTTATACACAAAGAGAGGAGTACACTGAATGCCAAGTGTTGCATTTGTTAATATATGTTGCTTAGTATAAGTTCAGTCCTGACACAAGGTTTTTAAATAAACATGCTGGTAGAAGCTTAGCAAAAAAAAAAATTAACAATTACAGCTTACCTTAATTAGCATTTTGAGTATCGGAGGATTCATGAAGGAAAATATATAGTTTCATGATATTAATAGGCCTTAAGTTGGTGTTTTGGGGGATCCTGCGTGGATGTAGTTCCAAAATAGCCACAGGTAAAATACGATAACAATTAGAATGCCATTAATTAAGGTGTTATGGTTGCCAGTTTTGATGCCATTTCATTAATAGCATCAACTTTAGTTTTTCCAGAGGCCAGAAATATATAACCAAGTATCCCTAAAGGCTATTGTAAGCACTGGGAAGTCTACCAAAAACATTTGTCAGTCCATGTGTCTTAAAATTCTGTATTACTAGGACCACCACACTATATAGACAAAGGAAATCAATTGCAATTTTTTGCTTAAAGGAGCCTTTTCATGAAAAATGAAACTGTCTTTCCTATGACCTTTCCCTATTGGGATTGAAGATCTGTTGGACCTTCCGCAGACAAAGTATTCTCAATTTGATGTGCTTCATTTAATTGTAGTGGCGCAGCTGGAGAACCAGTGTCTAATTGAATAGTCCCAAATTGGTGTCTTTTGGGAATTCCTGGCATGATCACTGCTTTGGTTTTGCTCTAGGAATAGCCTGCTAAGGAATTTGATGCGAAGTCCCTCGAGGGAACTTGAGCTAACAGCCTGGAATTGCAGTTTTAGCCAGCCTTGAGACCTTATCTAGACAGATTCAGTACATTTCTGGACAGTGACCGTTTTGTCTGGGATGTCAAATGTGTCCTTGACGCTGCTGATTGATGGAATCTTCAACAGTGAAAGACTCTCCTGTAAATAAACTGTATTGGATTCCAGGTCGCTTTTGTTATCCTTTGTCCATTTGTGTCCAAAGTGCAATTTCCATTATTTTTCTTATCTATCTGCTCAGTTAATCACCTTTTATTTTATTTTATTTTATTGCTAAAATTGAGCTTGGTTAGAGGCCAGCAGGAATGTGAGCAGCACAGGAACAATTTTAACCTTGATCTATCTATTCTTCTCTTCCTCCAAAAAGCCAGGAGTTGAATCCAAAGGCTCAGCCCATTTTCTCCTCATTATCCTCATGAGATAAGGTCATCTAATGCGTTTTGTGACTTAATGAGTTTCACACATAGGCCTAAAGAGTTTTAAATTCGTCATACTATCCACAGTGCTGCACCCATTTCTACAATGTTTCATTATCTTTCATGGTCGTTCCAGGTGATTTTTCTCTCTCTCCAGGTATTGAAGCTGAATGTTGTTGAAACTCAGAAGCCTATTTAGTTTTAACAATGTACCAACATCATATTTTATTGGCTAATTCATAAACTTTCTGTTTTAACTGTGATTTCAAATACAGGGCAAAATAGAAATAGTTTAATAAACAAAAGTTGAAATATGACTTTTTCTTTTCACTTTGGTTTGCAGAGATTCGTGCCCAACTTATTGAACAACTGAAATGTCTTGACCAGCAATGTGAGCTTAGAGTCCAGCTGCTTCAAGACCTGCAGGATTTTTTCCGGAAAAAGGCAGAGATTGAGATGGATTACTCCCGGAACTTGGAGAAGCTGGCGGAACGATTTTTGGCGAAAACAAGGAGCACCAAAGATCAACAGTTCAAGTAAAGTACTCCTCCATGGGCTAGGGAGTGGGGGGGGGGGGGGGTGAGCGGTAAAAATGGGAAGGAACAGGTCTGTTGAAGTATGCAGCCAGCATTCTATGGATATTGTGACAAAGTACATTATATCATTTAACACTCCCTTTTGCTTGTGATGTGGCTATTACCGTATATTCCAGGGTACTAGACGACTTTTTAGGCATGTAAAACCTTATAAAATTTTGGGGGTTGTCTAGTACGCCGGGTATCAAATTAAAATAATAATAAAATTACAAAAATTACTCCTCCTCCTCCTCTGCTGCCTTGACTCATGGTGGCCTCCCAGGCAGGCTCCCTGTCCTTCCTCTCTTCCTGGCTGCCTTCCTTGCTCAGGCCCAGGCCTTTCCCTTGTTGGCGCCCGGGCCCCTGGGCTGCTTCCCGTGCTGCTCAGGCTGCTCTCCTTCTTCCTGGCCAGGTCTTGCGAGAAGCACCTCTTCTCCCGCGAGAGGTGTCTCGTGGGAGAAGAGGTGCTTCTCGTGAGGCCTGGCCAGGAAGGAGAGCAGCCTGAGCAGAAGGGCCTCTCGTGCTGCTCAGGCCGCTCTCCTTCTTCCTGGCCAGGCCTTGCGTGAAGCACCTCTTCTCCCATGAGACAATGTTGTCTCGCTAGAGAAGAGGTTCATCTCGCGAGGCCTGGCCAGGAAGAAGAACCTCTTCACCCGCGAGACAACTTTGTCTTGCGGGAGAAGAGGCCCTTCTCGCGAGGCTTGGGGGGGCTGGGAGGCAGAGACACCATGACGACAGAGTGGGGCAGGAAGAAGGAGAGCGGCCTGAGCAGGGGACTCGTCTTAAACGGCGAGTATATCCCCAACTCTCTATTTTGTGTCTCAAAGTTGGGGAGTCGTCTTATAGCCCCAGTTGTGTAGTACCCCAGAATATACGGTATATAGTTTCTCCCTCCTTTCTCCAAGTTATCTGAGGGTATGTGTCAGATGCATTGAGTCAACATATATCTCCAGTCACACAGTACTTGTGTTCAGATCCTGGAAGCTTTTATGATGGAAAGGTGTGCCAGCGCTTGTGAAATCTGGTACTGTTGCGTTATATGGTGCTGGTTCTTGCATTCCAGATGGTGCCTTAAAGGAAATTATTTGAGAGTGTGAGGATGTAATGTGGGATGATGATGGGAATTGCAGTTCTACAGCATTCTTTTTCCATCCTTGCTATAGGGACATACAAGGTGTGGTTAGAAAGCCTTCCCAATACAGTATGATTGGAGCATATTGCTGTTTGCGATGAGCTGTTTTACCTTTCTTTGATGCCTGAAATGCTAACATATGCTGTTATCATATCCCACCTATTAACTATCACTGGAAGCAAGTATACTTTTTGTATTATAAAATACCATCATGATGGTCAGAGGTCCTTGGGCGGCCTTGTTCTGCAGAAGGTAAAATAAAGATGACTTGTAGGTTGTGTTGACTGAGATAGATTCATTCATTCATCCTCCAAAATCTCACTCTCACTGTGTGTGTATGTGTTCATAGTGCTTTTATTGAATGGGGGGTCCTGTACTTTGACTAGTTTGGGCTTCCAAATTCAACAGGGATATACAGTGTCAGAGTAAAATTCTGAAGTCTGATATTTATGATTTGCAGCCAGTCTGTTTAAAAAAGAGAAGAAATGATTCTGTAGTATTTATTTATTTATTGTATCAGAAGCGAATTGAGGTTGGTCCTGAAAAGGTCAGCTGGTTTGTTTGTTTGTTTGCATGTTGCAAATTGCTTCTAGTCGCTTCTGGTGAGAGAATCAGCCATCTACAAAGACAGTTGGTCAGGGGACGCCAGATGTGTTGCAATCCTGTGGGAAGGCTTCTCTCATTCTGCAGTAATTTATGGCCATGATTCATTCTTGGGTTTCTCCCCAAATACATGGAGTAGCTGTCTTGTTTTCTTATTTTCTTTAACGGTCTGCTAATTATGTGAGCCAGATATATCAACTTTCTTTATTTCAGTTGGACCTCCTTTATATCAGAGACAGTGTAGAGAAAATAATCTCATCTCTAATAATAATAATAATAATAATATAAAACTTTATTTCTAGACTGCCCTCTGTCTCTGGAGGGACTCGGGGTTGTTTACACATAAAAGGCAAACATTCAATGTTTCAAAATAGGTGGAAACATATCAAATAAAAAAAATAAGAGTAACAACAGAAAATCTACAACAAGGAATTAAGTCCCATATCTCTTGAGTCCTATATCTCCATGATTCAAATGAGTTATGTGCTTAATTTTTAAACTGGATTTTATTTGAAGTACAATTTAGTTTCCAGTGTTGTTCTTGGAAACCGCTTAGGGCTAGATTTTTATATTTGCTTTTCACTTAGTATACATAGAGGTGGTCAAAGTGTTTTTCCCCCAAAAGGCCAGGTACAAATAGTGTAAATAAATACATAAATAAATGACTGGATAGGCAAAGAACATCCCTCAGGATGTTGTTTGATGAAAACAGCACTCATCACCATTGACTATACTGGCTGATGGGAGTTGTAGTTCAACATGATCTGGAGGGAAACACTATGCTTGCTCCAGTCTAAAAAATTTGGAAAGACAACAAAAATTCATAACACATAACCAGAGATAGGTAAATATATTTGGGCTACAGCTCCCAGAAACCCCCATCGAGTATTGCCTCTGACCATCCTGGCTTAAGAGTACTAGGAGTTGTAGTATGTGACCATAGCTTTTATATAGCCTGTCAGGGGTCTTTGAATGTGAGTTGTTATAGTCTAAAGTTCTTATCAGAAGTCTATAAGTTATATCTTCTTGTTAACAGCTTCCTGGCCTTTTTGTTTTCAGTAATAAGTTTGAAATGTGATAGTGAAAAATTGCTTGAAAGAACAGAAATTCAAAGACAACTAAGTATTAATTGGATATATGTATGCTAAAACTTACCTGCTTTGGAGGTAAGGTTGTTGGAGATATCTCACACTAAAGTCTATCTCATTCATCTGTGACAGAATAGCACACCAACTGCAGCTGTAGTTTGACATCTGCCAGCCTCATGAGAATGCTATCTGAAGTATGCAAATGACGTGAAAATTAGCCTTTCTGTCCCAGGCTGAACATCTAGAATGTCTTTCTGATGGACATCTCTTGAGATAAGGGTTGCTTGCCATCTGGGACAGGATACTAAGAAAGGAAGACAGTTTTGTTATAACAAATATCTCACCAATGTGTGAATCTTGTCTGGTTCTGTTGTCAGTATCATGGCAAAAATGTCAGCTTGATGCAAAATAATCCTTGGGATCAGAATAATTTCAGCTCCAGAATGGCCAGCCTCTTCTATAAAGAAGAAATCTGCCTGTGTGTGCCTCCATCCCAATTTCATTTTAATTTCTAACTATTGTGGGATTAAAAAGATTTTTGTTTATTGGGTACTGTAATCACTATGTTTGGGGATATTGTTTGGCTGAAGAGGAAGAGGCAACTTTCCTTTTTACTACTTGGCCTTTTTCTGAAAGCCATTAACTTTCGCCCCTTCGGCTTCCTTTGTATATTGCTTTGATGTGGGGCACCTTTTGTTCTCCCTGTAACTGATACTTAATGCAAACATCCTCATTAAAACATTCTTTGTCCTATATCATCACCAAAGCCTGACCCCTAACCATAACTAATAAAGTTAATAAAGACAGTTGTGGGTCTCCTTCCATTTCCTTACAGACTAATAATTGTTTCTTGGACATTTTCTTCACTTGCCCTTTTCTGGCGGGAGGCTTGATAAAAGTTGCAGTCTGCTCACAGTCTATGTGCACATCAAAGAGAAATAACATTTTTGGATATTTGCTTGCTTTTCCACGTTCCAAATGAACCACTTCTCCAGAGATAAATGCTAGGATAACCTTCTCTCTAATAATGGTGTCAAATCCCTTGTAGAAACATTGTCTGCCATCAAAGCATATCAGCTATAGGACATGTTTTCCTTCTCTTGGGTGTTCACTTGAAGTTGATATGCAAGTTAAAGTAGCTCAACTGGGTTTTAAGTGATGCTGCAGTTGTGTGTCACTGAGAAGTGTGGGGTGAATAATTGAAGCATTTTGTCTCTGCTTCTATCTGAGAATGCAGTTTTGTTTTTATTAAGCAGAATTTTTACATGAAAACATCCCAGTGAATAACAACAAAACGATTTCCCTGGAGACTGTGGCAGTAGGATCCGCTTCTCTGATTTAGAGGCCATAACTTTCCATGCAGTGGAAATGTCTGTAATTTTCTAGTACTTATTTTTACCTTTCCCTTTGTTCCATTTTTATTGAAATATTCACACTGAAGCTCCTGTTCCTTTAAACATTTCTATTGGTACTTGAAAGAAGTCGTTCTGTTAGACTTAGTGCTTACGTTTTGTGAGTGAGGTGAGTAATATTTGTGTTTCTGGGATCAAATTCTTCAACTTCCCAAGGATCCACTGCAGGCCTCTATAGCAAAGCAATTAGCAATACTTATTTTAATTAAAACGAAATAGTGAAAGTACCGTATAATATCTTTTTGTGGTTTTGGAGAACTGGGAACTGAACAGAAATTATCTGGGAGCACTCTAAAACCTGTTATGCAAATTATTTTCACTGTTGAGTTTTCTGCTGATGGTGGCATCTAACTATGCAATTTAATCCCTGATTATTGATGTTTATAAATGTTCAGGGAATGATAATCACCTATATAATAAGTTATCACGCTACAGGTCCCATGTTACCAAATTTAGGAGGACATTGTTTCTTTATTTATTTGTTGTGGAACTAAAATAAAACTGACTTAACACCTGTGAATTCAGCTGTCTCACCTTTCTGAGTCTAAGCACAAATCTCATAGTAACTAGGTTTCTGTGAGTTTTCCAGGCTGTATGGCCATGTTCTAGAAGCATTCTCTCCTGATGTTTTGCCCACATCTATGGCAAGCACAACTCCTTCTCTTTAAAACAACCAGCCCACCAGCCAGTTTCCCCAAAAAAGCTAGATACCAGGTTTAGTTATTG